AGAAAACTACAAAACTTCGTGGGTTTCGGTTGAGTTTTTAACTTCCACTCGTAGATTGAGAAGTAATATCATTTTCATGTTGGTGTCATTCGGTTTTGGAAGAAGGAAAGTAGAACATGGTAATTTGTGGTAATAGTGCAGTCGAAAAATCTGGGACTGCACATTTTATTTCCTGACAACTGATCGCAACATGCAATATTTATTTTTTGAAGAAATTTTAAGTGTGGGTCAATGAAGTTGTTATTTTGATTTTTTAAAATGAAGCTAAATCATTATTTTTTTTTTAAGTGACTTCTTTTTTAACTTCAGAGGTTAAATTTATTACTTCAAGTTGAGTAAGATTTTATATAAGTGATAGACATTATATTATTTCTTATAATTTTATATAATTTATAAACATTATTATTGTGCATGAAGCAGGTTGCATTCTAAATGTAACCTAAAAATGTAAAATGTCTAACATAACCTCGCTATGAACGTACACTATAATTTATTATTTTTCTGTCAATTTTAAATGAAAATACATAAGTCAATTATACATAAATGTTGTCCTCAATGAATTATAATAAAAACATATATCATATATGCACATCTAGGTATCATAGTTCATAAATGAATCTCTGACTCCTTACATTTTAATACAGTTACCTAAAACATAAGAATTAAATGCATTTTCACAGAAATTTTAATTGTCATTGAGTCTGGTATAATGTCAACTTTTAAACAATTATAATAACTCTACTTCAAATTCAGCCAAAAGTCACATAACCTCACAATGTATAAATTTACTGTCCCCTCAAGAACTTTTTCCTCCCTCAAGAATTAACAAAAATTTATTAAACCAATCCATACAATACTAATTCACCTTAGCTTACAATATACAAACTAAAATTACATGCAAGTCCAATCCAGAATAAATTCTATTAAATTTTTAAAAAAAATTTCAAAATCCAGCAAAGAAGATTTGACCACACCGATGCACTTTGCAAAGCATAAAACCGTAACAGTCGGTCAAATTGCTCGAAACTGACCCATTATCCGCGTCTAATAACGGTCCCCTGGCCCTGATTC